CCTGCGATGAAGGTACACCCCACCTTTCACGTATCACGTCTAAAACCTGTCTCTGTTTCTGACCTGGCGCCCGCCTCCGCGTCCCCGCCACCCACCCGGCTCATCGACGGGGTGCCGGCCTTCACCGTCAGGAGGATCCTGAGGTCCCGCAGATGGGGCAGGGGGACCCAGTACCTCATTGACTGGGAGGGTTACGGTCCTGAGGAGCGCCAATGGGTCCCTGCCAGCCGGGTCTTGGACAAGTCCCTCATCAGGGAGTTCCACAGAGCCCACCCGGAGCAACCTAGGGCGTCTGGGATCCGCCCTTGAGGGGGGGGCTCTGTGACGTTCTGGCTCCGCCCACCGGCTCAGCCCGCCGCTAATCAGCGACATTGGTCACACCTGCCATGGGCAGTTCATAAGCCCCACTCACCCATTCACCTGTGCCAGAACGTCTCTAACCAAATGTGCGAGTCTTCCAGCGTTGTTCCTGCCTGCCTGCCTGTTACGTCCGTTTCGTCCCCGACTCCGAGCCTGCCTGCCCCTCGTCTGATTATCCTGCTTCGCCTGAGTCCTGCCTGGCCCGACTCAGTGCTCTGCCTGCCTGCCCGTGTCCCCGACCCAGCCTGCCTGACTCCGCGCTCCCGTCTGATCCCTCTGGACTGTCTCCCCGGCCTCGACCCCTGCTCGCCCCTGGACCCCGTTTTGGATTACCCCTCTCGGATTGTTCCTGGACTGACTCCCCGTTGCCGACCTCACCTGCCTGACCACCCCCTCTGGTTTGCCCTGTTTAATAAACCGTTCGAACTGACCGTTTGCCTCCGGGTGTCTTTGGGTCCGCTAACTCGTACATTACAAATGTGTCTTCAGGATGTTAAAACCTGGATGACCTGCAATTTTCTAATGTTAAACTCAGCCTAAACTAGGGCCTAAACACCTTCGTGACGCATTATCTAGAAATATAGTTTCCCTGGATGGCCTCCAGCACCAATGTGAGAAATCTTGGAGTTATCTTTGAACAGGACATGTCGTTTAACTCTCACATTAAGCAAATTTCAAGAACCGCCTTCTTTCACCTTCGTAATATCGCAAAAATTAGGAGCATCCTGTGTAAAAATGATGCAGAAAAACTAGTCCATGCATTTGTTACTTCTAGGCTGGATTACTGCAATTCCCTGTTA